AACGGTCCCATGATATCCGCAGCGAGTGCGATCCACGGGGCCTCGACGATTCGGCGGTCCATTAATCCCGCCGGTCCTGTCTGCTCGACTTTCGCCCGTTGACACGTATCGCACTTTCCGACGTAGTCAGCAACAGCGCGAAACATATTGGGCCAATAGTAGGCGATCGCTAGCCTCTGATGGGTTTTATCGATTCCGAGATGCCCTGCTTGCGGATCGTCATGTGATTCGCGTAGTACTTCCCCCTGCAATTCTCTCGGGACTACTAGTTTCCACTCATCTAAATCCTCCACGATCGCGGACGTAACGGGGCGCGTTCTTCGAACGTACAAGCGGTTCTCCGCCACTCTCCATCCCCGAGGGCCTTCTTTCCCTCGATACTTCCCGAAAGCGTGCGCGGTACCAGGGGTCCTCTGTGTCTCGAAAAATCTCCGCCTCTGTCCCCAGCGCGACCAGAAACGTCTCCACTTCTTCCCCGGGAATCTCGGTGTCACCCTCGTAGGTCCTCGATAGCGCGTTCGGTGCGTGGTTTAGCGCGCCCTTCCTGTACACTACCTCGTAATCATACTCTAACAGCTCTAGCGCCCACCGCGCTAGTCTATCTGTCGGGTTTCGCAGGTGGTGAAGCCACCGTAAACTATTATGATCGGTCACGACGGTAAATCGGTACCCCTCTAAATACGGTCTAAATTTTCGTATCGCCCAGACTACAGCCAAACACTCTTGTTCGGTGACTGAATATCTTCTCTCGGCGTCCAACAACGCGCGACTCGCACACGCGATGATATTCTACGTCATTGACTTCTTGAGGTAACACGGCGCCTAATCCGACTGAACTAGCATCTGTTTGCAAGATAAAAGGGATTTTTAAATCTGGGAGGTCGGAGCGGTAGCCAGACGCTCGCGAATCTCCTCGAAAGCCTTAGTCTGTTCGTCCCCCGGAAAGAGGAAGAAAGATGAACAGGTGTAAAAGTTTAGCCATAAAAAACAGGCTTTGCAAATTGAATCCGTAGTCCGTACCATGGTCCGTAGTGTGAACGAAGAATCCAAATCCGACGATCCGCAATCCCAATCCGATCCGCATTCGCAATCCGTAGTGTGACACGGGCATAATGGTACGTTTCCATTGAGCGCGTCACGCGTCGCGTCATGAAAGAGAGAAAGAGATAAGATTATATAAATACACAACCCCTTTCTTTCTCTCCTTCGACGACGCGACGCGTGACGCGCTCAGTGGAAACTCAGCCTTAGGTTTGTTCGCGTCGCATGCTTCAACATGCTCCTGCCATAGTTCCTACTCACTCTAATAAACACATTGAAGTGAGTAGGAGCTATGGTAGGAGCATATAGGAGCACGTTGGAGCATGCGACGCGGACAAACCTCTAGTTGCCAATCGCGCACGCGACGTTGTGGCTCAGGAGCGTGTCCCTATACCAGAGATATACTAGGAGCGCACCTTCCGCTAATTCATTATTCAAATACGTCTTTTATTAAATAATTTATTTCTATTAAATTTAATGTATTAAAAATAGTAACAATGTAATGTATTAGAAAACTACGTTAAGATATAAGTAAATATCATTAAGAAATAATGAATAAATTAACAATAGAAAATTGTATTTTATATGTATAATAGAAATAAATTTTTTAATAAAAAACAATTTTCAATAATATGGCGGAAGGGGCGCTCCCAGTATTTTTCTGGCAGAAATGTGCACATTTTTATGAGCACTGCATTACATTCTTGTTGTTTGACTAACAAGGATGAAATGATTCACTGTGTTTGTTTGATTGTATCCTTGCTGGAAAATGCTGGACATAATCCTTCCACCAAGATCAGAGCTGATAACACTACTCATGCTCACGACACTATAACTTCTCACCATCACAGAGACGCACTGTAGCTCACGTAATCACATATTTCGGAGCGCTGAGTGAGCGCGAGAAATGGAGAAAGCTTTGTATCTTTTCCACAAACTTAGGAATATTCTTTCCACAATAGCTTTTTACTATACAATTGTATAAGCTATATGTATACCGCATTCATAAATCTGAAACGCAAGTAATTGCCACGGCAAAGTGAATAAAGTGGCTATTACACCGAAAAGCTCACGTATGTCAGATGATAAACGTAATGTCAGACATTCTATCTATTTCACTTCCGTCGCGCGGCAATCATTATTGAAAATATGCCTTCGGAAAAATAATAAACTAGATATAATAAGAAATGATCACTTTATTTGTTCTTGCATAACTATGAATGTAGAATCTTCAAAATGTATGGCGTAAATTTTCAAACTCAATATAAAATTTCGGTCGGATATATTGTTTGAAAAATTCATTGGAAAAATTCACGCGTGTTCGTAAAATCGGCCATATGTTTCTTATAAAGAAAATAATTGCCTATATAGTACAGCCAACAGCAGGGACATTTGGATAAGTTAACAGAAATTTCGAAAATGTATAAAAAAACAATATTATAACATAAATTAAATTTTTAAATATTTTAATAAATAATACAAGATCAATGTAGTACTACAAAAGAAACTTTAAGATTGCAAAGGGGCCTATTCTGTAACACTTAATGACTCTAACGATATCGTTAAATTGTCATTGCACAGCTTTCTTACTGTATAGAAAATCTGCATAATGACAATATAACGTTATGCAGTCATTAAGAGTTAAAGAATAGGGCCCTAATCCGTTGATAAATGACTATATTTAAAAAACAAAATTGAAATTTCAAAAAAATCAATATTGAATAAAAACATTCTTTTATATATCCTGTTACATATATTTCTTTAATGAATTACTACTTCATTATTTATTATCGATAGTAAAACGTTTTAATTTTATAATTTTTATTATTATGTCTCTTTATTTCTTCTATAAGGAAAACGAAATTCTGTCAAGTGACAAACAATTAAACATTTATACATTGAACTACTTGTGCAAAGAAGTACCCCTATAAGAAAAAAAATCTATATGTCGAGGGATTTTGATGAAATTCCAAATTTGTTTTGTCACAAAAATTTTCGGTTTTTAGGAACCCATAGTAATAAAATAAAGTAAGAAGAAAAAATATTAGTGGAAGACGACTCGACTATACGACTTTATGTTTAAAAAAATTTGACCGCTTTTTTAAGTAAAAAATAATGTCACAGTGGCGCTTTGCGTTTTTTATTCTGTTGCTGTCGTTTGATTGTATACACGTCCTGGCGCGGATGCATATCTTATCTTATATACTGGCGTGGATGCCACGGATGTATGCTTTGGCGCGGACGTAGCGAGTTACGCACATACTGGTGCGCGGGCGGGGCGAGTGTATATTCTGGTGCAGGTGGCGAGTTATTCTCCGCGAGAAGCGGAAAAAAATCTGGGGAGCGGCTGGGAGCGAACCCTGATCTCCAGCGTGACAGCCTAAACGCTTTACCACTGCGCCACTGCGACTGTACGGAACCACTATTTTGATTGTAGCCTTACTACGGTACATTTACGCGATCCATACGAAATCATTGAACGACGAATCGATGCGTACATTGAAATATTTCGGAAAAACGTTCCTGTTTCTCATAAGTAACATTTCGTACAAGGTATCTCAGAGAATTTCGAGCAATACTCATGTTCAGATAAAATTAGATGTTGAGACGGAAAACCGTGCACCATATTTTTCAACTTTTCAAGTATTATCAATTTTCTAAAGAGAACCGAATTCGTTTTTCGGACAGGGGGAGGAAACGATTGTAACTCTGCCACGGTACCTCTACCCCATCTCGGCATTCGCCCACCGACCCGCGGAAAAACCATGGCTCAAAAACCGCGGGCGAGACGGTCTTCTTAACAAAAAAACGAACTTTGCTGCCGCCGACAATTCTGCCGAAAGTTGCCTCCGGATGTTGTCACCAAAAGCCGCTGCCGTCAAAACCTTTGCCCTAGGATTGTCAGCTTATCCTGAAACTGATAAATACAATAACGCGAAGCAACTCATCATTAAAAAAATAGTCTAATCTTATCTTTTGATACCGTGACTCCGAGATTTCTTTATTAAATCAATTGTCTTTCCAAGTAAGGTGCCAGTCTATCCGAATGAACAACTTTATTTTTATGCTTACTCGACTTATGGATACAATAAACCACATCACTAAGTTTCTTTACTATACAATATGGGCCTTCCCAACTACACTGTAGTTTGGGAGCTCTTCCCCTTACCCTTCGAGGATTATATAACCAAACTCTCTCCCCTTTAAAACAAATTTGTCTAACCTTCTGATCGTACCAGGATTTTGTTTGCGAAGACTTTGTTCGTTAAATGTTCTTGCGCGTGAGCTCACTGCGGACACACGTGCACTTCCACACTGTTCTCGAGGAGATATAGCCAGCGAGATTGTGGTCGAGAAGCCTTGCCTACTTCTCTCTATTTATATCGGTGCACCCTCGGTACGTTTACGGTAGCAGAGCGGAGAAACTCGTAACTGGATAACTTTCGCACGCGAGGCTTTAGCTTGCCTTGATCGCGCGGTCGGTCCTTTGCGTGATCGATGCCCGAAATCCTTACAACGAATGGCGGTCCGGTATGATTACGCGAGGATGCGCACATGCTCACGCGGGGTGCGCGGACGACTACCGCACTACTTTGCTCGCGCGACCAATGGCAACGGCGCGATGACAAGTCAGTGCGCGCAACGTTACCGAATCCGACCAATATCGACGGAATCTCGAACACGCCGCCGCCCTTGAAAGGACCATCTTTCAAAGGTCTTGAATTCTACGCTTCCTTGAAAATAAAATAAAAAAAAAAATAATGCATTGATTGCGCCCGCGACACATTGTGCTTGACTTAGCAACTTAACCAAGGAAGCGCTAACTTAACGGTAATACGGTGACATAGAGCATCGGATGCAAATACAAGGATTGTTTGAAAGCATAATAACACACAATTATCTAAAACTACATACGATATCTTAAAACTAACTTACAGCGTATGAAAAGAGCTTATAAACTAGGTTTCAAGCGGTAAAATCGCTAATTTGGTTAAGGGTCTCGTGATCGAGCCTTTGGAAGTCTGAAGCGTGGCCGTTCGAGCTACGCCGTCAGCGCCTGGGTGAGTTTCCTGCACGCGACCCAGAAGCCATTGCAATGGCGCTAGATTCGGCTGTCTTACGAGGACGAGCTGATTGGGCAGCAACTGTATGCCTTTGTTGATTTTCCATTTGTTTCGCTCTTGCAACGACTGCAAGTACTCAGTGCTCCACCGACGCCAAAAATGCTGCCGAATCTGCTCGACCCTCTGCCATCTGAGTAAGCGGTTCTCCGGAACGTCGACGAGATTTCTGGAAGGAAAGCTATTTAGTGCAGCGCCGATCAAGAAGTGTCCCGGTGTTAGGGGCGACATATCATTCGGGTCTGAGCTTAGAGCCGTGATGGGCCGTGAATTGAGGATCGCTTCTATTTCGCAAAGTACGGTCTGCAATTCCTCGAAAGTTAAATGAGCCCTACCTACAATGCGGGCCATGTGTAGTTTTGCCGACTTAACCGCCGCCTCCCAAAGCCCGCCGAAGTGGGGGGCATTCGGTGGAATGAAGTTCCACGATATTTCCAACTCGCTTAGAAATTGCACAATCTGATCTTGCGTTTGCGATTGATTGTAAAATTTGTACAGCTCTTTGAGCTGTCTGTTAGCGCCCACGAAGTTGGTTCTGTTGTCCGAGAACACGTGGGCGGGTTTTCCCCTTCGGGATATGAAACGTCTAAATGCGCCGAGGAAAGCGTCGGCGGTCAGATCGCTCACGAGCTCTATATGAACTGCCTTGGTAACGAAGCAGACAAAAACGGCCAAGTAGGCCTTGTGATTTTTAGCATTACGCCGTTTTCCCTCTCTCAATATCACCGGACCGGCGTAATCGATTCCGCAACGTTCGAAGGGTCGTGCTGCCGTGACACGACTGGCTGGCGCCGAAGTCATGATGGCCTCAGACTGCTGGGGGTTGACCTTGAAACAAGTAATACATTTTCGTATTATGCCACGCGCGTTTAAACGCAAGGATAATGGCCAGAAGCTTTGTCGGATGGCGGCCATGGTGGCCTGTACGCCAGCGTGGAGATTAAGAACATGCTCGCGCTCTATTATGAGTCGGGTCAAACGATGATCACCTGGAAGCAGAATGGGGTGACAGGCGTTGTAATCGACTTGGGAGTTCCTCAGTCTGCCCCCCACTTTAATTAGTCCATCCTTGTCAATGAAAGGTGTGAGAGGTAACAGCCTACTTGCGCTGGAAATGGGCTTCCCCTTGCTCAATGATTCCTGTTCATGTGGGAAGGCCTGCTTCTGGACATCCCTGCAAATGACCTTCAAAGAGCGTGAGAACTCATCGGGAGATATGAATTTGCCCGACGCCCTGGCACGATGAGCCTTGGAGAATCGTAGACAGTAAGCTACGATTCGACATGTCTTATTCAATTTAGAGAATTTGTTTAAGAGATCATTGATCACGGAATGCTTGACCTCGGCGGCAGTGGCGACTACCGCTTTCCTCTGCTCTGGTATATCTTCGTTCAATTTTGCGAAGGCACCGCTGGGCCACAGATCATCGCGTAACCGCAAGAAAGGGGGCCCGTGCCACCACAGGGCCGAGTTGCTTAAGTTGTGCGGATCTAGTCCGCGAGAAAGAATGTCGGCAGGATTGTCCGGCGAACTAACATGACGCCATTCCTCGATTTTAGTAAGACGTTGGATTTCGCCGACTCTATTGGCCACAAAGACCGACCATCTTCGAGAAGGGGAGGCGATCCAATTTAGGCTAATTGTCGAGTCCGACCAAAGGAAGATCTGTATGTAGGATACGTCCAATGACGCTTGTACACTTGCAATCAGACGAGCCAACAGCAAGGCCGCCGACAACTCGAGTCTGGGCAACGACGTGGCCTTAATAGGGGCCACACGAGATTTTGAGCATAGCAACTCGGAATGGTACTCCCCGGAACTTGACTCGGTGCGAACATATATACAAGCTCCGTACGCGCTTTGGCTAGCGTCGCAGAAACCGTGCAACTGTATGAAGTGGAGGTCCGAATTGAGCCTCACTCCCCGGGGGATGCGTATTTGGTTCAGGTCGAATAACTGAGCTCTGAGCTTTAGCCATCGCGCATGGAGGTTTTGTGGGACTGACTCATCCCAGTGGACGCCGGATTGCCAGAGTTCCTGTAGTATCAGCTTGGCAATGACGATCGTGGGGCCTAATAGTCCCAATGGATCGAAACACCGAGATATTTCGGATAAGATTACCCGCTTGGATACGACGTTGCACGTGGGCTCGAGCTCGCATGAAAATAGAAGCATGTCCTGGGATTGACTCCACCTAATGCCCAGAACAGAAGAATCGTCGCTGTTTAAACTAACCAATTCACCGTTATGCTTCCGCAGGGATTCTAACAATTGAGGGCAGTTTGACGCCCATTTGCTAAGCTCAAAGGATCCTGCCCGCAAAAGTCGTATGACCTCATCTCGAATCTGTTCAAGCTCGCGAATGGAGTCGGCCCCGGTGAGCAAGTCATCGACGTAGAAATCACGTTTGACGCAAGGCGATCCAAGAGGAAATTCAGCGGAGTGTTGCTCCGCTAAATGGATGAGACATCTTGTGGCTAGAAATGAGGCTGCAGACGTCCCGTATGTTATCGTTAACAGCTCGTAAGTGCCGACCTCGTCTTCAGGATTGTTTCTCCAAAGAATTTTCTGTAAACTCGTTTGGGCCGGATCCACTAGCACCTGTCTGTACATTTTTACAATATCCGTGGTTATCACGTAGCGAAAGTATCGAAAACGTATTAGTATTGAAGCGAGGTCTTGCTGAACCACTGGGCCCACTCCCAAGAAGTCATTCAGGGAAATCCCCGAGTCGGACTTGCATGAAGCATCAAAAACGACGCGGAGCTTCGAGAAGCCCCCGGTGGGCTTGACCACACAATGGTGAGGCAGATAGAATGTTGGCGCGCCCTTGCCAGAAGGCATGGTTACCCTCTGCATGTGCCCTAAGGCTAAGTACTCTTCCATGAAGTGGCTGTATTGAGACTTTAGTGATGGGTTGCGCGAGAAACGTTTTTCCAAAGACCTCAATCTCTTGAGTGCAATTTCTTGAGAGTCACCTAATTTGGAAAGAAGATGTTCTTTAATGGGAAGCTTTACTATGTATCGGCCTTGCGAATTCTGCGAGACGTTATCGACAAAATGTTTTTCGCAAAATCTTTCTTCGGGAGAATAAGTACTTGAGGCCGCGAAATTTTCATCCAGTTGCCAAAGACGGTCAACTTGGTCATGCAATTGCCGGTTAGTCACTATCGCGTGATTGGAATGCACCCATAGGGGCGAACTCGCTGCGCCGAAGCGACCGGCCAAAACCCAACCTAATCTGGTCTTTTGTAGCAATGGATGGTCGGTCGAACCGCCTATCTGCCCGACACACAGCAATTCCCAGAATAGTTCGGCACCTATCAGAATATCAATTTCAGAGGAGACATTGAAGTTCGGGTCAGCCAAAGATATATTGCGCGGAAGCTTCAAGGCCTTACGCTTGAACGAAGTAACCGGAAGGTTCTCAGTCACCCGTTCGGAAACGATGCATTCCGTTATAGCGGTGTAAGCGCTT